GTCAAGAGCGAAATTAGTCAAATAATACATAGTTATAAGTATAATGTTAATGTTAATAAGTAAATGTTAGTCACAACGAAGCCTTCGGGAAAGACTGAGGCTATTGATAGAAGCCAGCCGGCTGATTCCAGAAATTAAAGTCAATGATTCAAGTCAAAGATTCAACTGATTTCTCACATCAAGTAGAGTAGCCGTTCGAGAATAACAAAGACACATTCAAAGGTGTACGATCGACATCAGCCAACACCATGATGACACAATGATCTTAACAGCGTTTGCATCGCCTACTCGACGAATGTAGGTGCGAATCGGGCTGTCCAACTTGATTTGATCATTTCTTTTCCCTTCCTTAAATCCTAAGCTAGCTTGGATAATGAATTCCAGGGGGGGGAGGGGACGAGTGTTGAGCCTCGACGGCACGAACTGAATATCCGGATGATCCGCGATGAACCCTCCCGTGAGACGACTGGTATTGTGGATGGCGATTAGAATTCTGTCGCTCTTCTTCGCTGTCGTGATAATTCTGCAGCTATTTTCCTTGAAACAGACGACGCCGCGTTTGGTATTTGTTCGTGGATCTAACGTGAAGTAAATCACGCCGACACGCGTGAGGATTGATCTTGGTCTTCGGAGTATTTTAGGAATCTCGGGAAGGTATTTTTAGTGCAGAGTGAAAATAGAGTGAAACGAAATTTATTCCTTGTATGGAGCGTCGATAAAGATTGTGTAGATCGTTTCAAGCAACAAAATAAAATAAATAGCTGAATTTTTGAAATCATTGTTGACGACTGTAATCTGATTGGACGTTAAATGTGATTTAGTTTGGAATGGTTTCGTTACAATATAACAAAACAAGACTACTTTACCTACATTAAATATAAATTGAGTTTCAATAAAAAAATTAATTATTTTAAAAAATAATTTAATAATTTATAAGGATAAATAAAGGATCCTCCTAACTTAGGAGAATCCTGTGTGGTTCTCCAGAAGTATAAAATTAAAAAAAGAAACGAACTATGTGCTCTCGTCAATAGCTTTCTCAAATCAAAGTAAATCAATATTTTGTAAGAATTCACGTTGTTAGCAAAACTATAATTAACCGTGAACAAGTAATTCGATATGAATCCGGTTTTAAGAATCGAGATCGATGACTTTCGTAACAGAAGGAAAGAGCATCAAACAAAGAGATTTATTACAAGAAAAAAATTAGTCCGATTTGTTCTGCTTAATTCAAAAAGTCACGTTTGGAAAATCGTTAATTTTCACAGTACGAACAATTCTTTCGTTCCTTCTCGGAAGGGTTAGTTGCACCAAGTAATAACCTCCTTTAAATGAAAAGTTTGTCGTTGTGATATCGGAGGCCCCATTAAAAATATCTCGCGCACAGGGGCAATAAATTCGACGTGCAACGTTGGTCGTTAAAGTGGACAGGAACCGGGCGAGGCGAGTTCGACGCAACAATTTGTTGAAATCCCAGGAAATCCCGATTCGTACAGTCGACCAAGCCAAGTCCTTGGCAAACACCACTAAGAGACTATCTCGGTGACAGGAGATTTGTACATTCGCGCCACCGGAGGTCGAAATCGCAAGTATTCATCGGACAAATACTACCCTCCGATGAAAGATTTCGCTAATCCGCTTTCTTACCGTCACAGCCTGGCTGATATTGTCGACTTAAAACTTTGGCCAACTTCATTTTCGAACAGGAAAAAAATCAATTTCGAATGTTCGATCAATTCACGCGATTGCTTTCATTTCCTTTCTTCTTCTTTTTTTCATCGAGATTGTAATCTGATAGAACAACGTTTCATTCTCTTGTAATTGAATAATTAATAATAGCAAGTAAAGATCTTGTTCATATTCTCGATTCATGTTCATTTCCTTTGTATAAATATCTCTTTTCTATTTTATTTTAAAAAATTGAAGATTGATTTTCCATATCAACTTGTTTCAGAAATTCTCAGAGGTGAAGTAATGAAAATAGAAAGATACGCTAGTAATCAAATGTTTGTGAAACAAGATTGAGAAATTCTTGATAAAATTTTGAAATGATATTACTGACAGGAAATAAACTAACAAGCTAATTGTGCTACGAAAAATTTAATATTCCAAGTGTTCTAATATATCCAATGGCTAGAAATGTTCAAAAAGATTATGAAATTTTTATTAATAGAAAGAAATACGTATTTCCAGGACTTTAGAAATCGATAATTTTGTCATTACTTGACCAAACCGACGATGTCTTTCAATTTTCGTGTTCCACAGTTATTGTATTTGGTCGAGTTGTAATTTTTACACCTTCTTAAACATCTGGCCTGGGTCACGACAGAATTTACGATCCATTTTCTCAATAACTGCGTGACAAAGGATTGATGTCATCGTATTTCATGCGCAAAACACGGTGCATCTTCTCAGACGAAACGCCGAGATCGTAAAAACAGACAGTTGATGCTCGGGTTATTCTATTTCCCTTGTTTTATAGCTTTTCGTAACTAATAAGAATTTCGTTACATCTACAGATTTGTTTTCCGATAAAAAAAACTCAATCTATGTTGATGGAATCTATGACGCGCCCTCGTGAAATCAAATTCAAATCAATTTGACGAATCTTCGATCATCGCAGTTCAACTTTCTACTTGTACCTTTATAATTTCCATATTTCGAGGACATCTGCTTCTTTAATGTTTCGAGAAAATCCATTCTCTGTTATCGGGAAATTTCTGATCCAATTCCAAAATGTTCTTTAGAAAGTGGAGGAATTATTTGAAATATAACGACAACATCTGTCAAAATTCAACTCTCCAAATCATTCGCTTTCCTCGAGATATGCTCTCTTTCCAATTATCGCGTTTTTATAATCTACGGGCATCGCTGCACATTGTAGACAACTGTACCGCAACAATTCATTTACAATCAAACAATTAAATTTTCGAGAAACTGCAAACAAAAATAAATGCAACAACGTGACAATAAGAAATTTTCATCTGTATTCCATGAATATTTACTCCATTACAGATATTTATAAACTTTTATAATAAACATTGTTATCGTCATTGAAAGACACAATTTTTATCAAAATTTAATCAAAAATTCTGCAACTACTCATTTCAATTACAGTTGAAAAATAATTTTAAATTGCAGTGAATATTTTCAATTCCCGAAAAACAGAGGACAAGTGTACTTGATTTTTATATCGCGTAATTGTTATAAACAACCGGAAACATTTTTTAGCTTGATTTTCTAACCAGAGAGGCATTGCAACGGGAATAAAAACCTTTAAAGTTGAAACGATAATATAACCAACTTAAAGCCAGAATTTCTCGCGGAAAATATATTTCTTCGTTATCCGTTAAACTCGCGAGATAATTCCGCGTATTTGTGAAAACGGATATCTCTATGAATACGATATTTAAAAAAAAAAAAAAAA